TCCTTGTCAGCGCTTGTTGTTTTCTGTTTTTGTCTTGTTTTGGTTTTTTGTTTTGATAATAGCCATCTTAATGGGTGTGAAGTGGTATCTCATTGTTTTGATTTGTGTTTCCCCAATGACTAGTGATGTCAAGCACCTTTATGTGCTTATTGGCCATTCATATATACTTTTTTTTTTTTTTAAAGATTTTATTTATTTATTTGAGACAGAGAGAATGAGATACAGAGAGCATGAGAGGGAGGAGGGTCAGAGGGAGAAGCAGACTCCCTGCCGAGCAGGGAGCCCGATGCGGGACTCGATCCAGGGACTCCAGGATCATGACCTGAGCCGAAGGCAGTCGCTTAACCAACTGAGCCACCCAGGCGCCCCTGCCATTCATATATACTTACTATTTTCTGAGGCTGTTGTAAGGATTTTTCATTTTTTAATTGTTTATTGCTAGCTTATAGAAATGCTCTGTGGTATAACTGCTAGCATATAGAAATGGATTTTTGTTTGATCTTGTATTTTCTACCTTACTAAATTCACTTATTAGTTCTGGTGCTATTTTGCACTAGTAGAATAGGTAGGATTTTCTACATATGTCATGTCATTTGTAAAAAAAAAAAACAAAACTGTCTTACTTCTTCCATTCCAATATTTATTTCTTTTTCTTGCCTTGTTCCAATGGCTAGAACATCCAGTATAATGTTGAATAGATGTGGGAAGAGCAATCATCCTTGCCTTATTCCTGATCTTAAGAGATGATTTTCTTTTTTTTTATGATAAACTGCATGTTTGCTGCAGGATGTGGGGTGTGTATGTGTGTGTGTGTGTTTATCCTCCTTGGGGTTTACTAAGCTTTTTGGATCTGTGGGATTCTAGTTTTCATGAAATTGGAAAAAAGTTTAGCCATTATTTCTTCAAATATTTTTGCTGTATTCTCTGGGATTTCAGTTAGACATGTTAGACAATTTGATATTGTTCCACAGGGCATAGAGTTTCTGTTAATTTTTTTTCCAGTCTTTTTTTCTCCCCCATACTTAATTTGGCTAGTTCCTATTGCTATGTCTTCAAATTCATAGATCTTATTTTTCCATAGTGTCTAATATGCTGCCAATTTCATCCAGTTAATCTTTTTTAAAAAAGATAGTATATTTCTTTTATTTCTGGAAGTCCATTTTTGAAATATTTTCATTCTCTCTTCATTATGTTCATATTTCCCTTAAATCTTTCAGTGTATTTATAACAGGCTTTAAAAAAAATCCTTGACTGATAATTCCATCATCTCTCTTTTCTTTTTCTATTGGCTGATTTTTCTCCTGCTAATGGGTCACATTTTCCTGTTTTTTTCTCATGTCTAGTAAATTGTTATTAGATGTTGGGCATTGTTCATGTTTTATTGCAGAGTGTCAGAATTTATTGAATTCCTTTTAAAAGTGTTAAACTTTTGTCTGGTTAATACTTAAGTTACTTATGTATCAGCTGGATCAGTTCAAGGCTTGATATTGTGGGCTCACAGGGGGAGCCTTTGTTTCTGGCTAGTTTACCTCCACTACTATATGGAATGACCCTTTGGGTTTCCACTCTGAGGGTCCTGGGTGTTTAATCAGGACTTTCCACTCTGGATGGCTAGAACTATAAAAACTTACCTTTCCTGTGTGAGTTCTTGGTGCTATTCAGCTTATAGCTCCTCTGTCTTTCTTTCTTTCACCCTATGGAGTTTCATTGTATGTATGTACAATTCAGAATTCAGGAAAAGACCCAAGGAGACTCCTCTGCAGATGCCCAGCTTTCTTTATGTAATTCCCTCCTCTCTGGTACTCTGCCAGAGTAAAATTTGCTCTTAAATTTGCTGTAGCCTTCTCCATCTTCAGTCTCACTTTCTGTTCTCAACTCTGCAAGGTTGCCAGGCTCTGCTTGGGATATGCTTCCTGCGTTGTGGACTGGAATTTGTCTCCAGGCAGAAAGCAGGGGCAATCATAAGGCTCCCTTCATTTTTTTTTTTTTTTCTCTCAGGGATTACAGCTTGTGTAATGTCCAAAAATAGTTGCCTCCTATAGCTTGTCCATTTTTCTTGTTATGGTAGAAGGGCAAATGTGATTCTGGTTCCTGTGTGATGGCTGGAAGAAAAAACCTTATCTAGCTCAATTTTGATTCCACCTCTAGCAGTTTCTCCTCAGTGTAGGAATCTGATCTAAAACAGAGGCCTGGCTAATCAGTTTTTTTTTTTTTTTTAAAGATCTTATTTATTTGTCAGAGAGAGAGAGAGACAGAGCATAAGCAGGGGGAGCGACAGGCAGAGGAGAAGCAGGCTCCCCACTGAACAAGGAACCCGATGCGGGACTCGATCCTAGGATCTCTGGGACCATGACCTGAGCTGAAGACAGATGCTTAACTGACTGAACCACCGTAGGGTATCCCTGGCTAATCACTTTTAAAAGTTCACAGGGACAAACTGTTCCAACTCTTTCTATTCTTAGAAGAGTCTCCTTGCATTCACTTGTGGTCGGATTGGGGAAGCCCCTCCCAGTTTCACCTACTGTTCTTAAGTTATTGAGCCATGCTTTCCAATGAATCTCTCTTAGCTGTTTAGGGATTCTGTTGTTCTCATGAACCTTATCTACCTTGTTGTGTTCTTCAGGTTCCCCTTGCATAGATGCTGATCCATGTAAATTTTATTGCCATTGGTAGTTTGTAGTTTGTCTCCATTTGCTTGTATTTTTGGTGTTTTGGGCGAAACCTTGTCACCTAGTTTTCTTGTAAATGTACATGGATTTTCTGTTTTTTGTTTTTGTTTTCATGTAGTTGATCTGTGAGGATTTTGGGAGAATTCAAAAACTGTGCAGCTACCAACCGAGCTACCACTTTCCTGGAATCTGGTAGAAGTTTTAAAAGCCTGAATATAATTACTTTCCCTCTTTCACTGCACCCTGAGCCCTTATTGTGATACCTCTCCTGGCGTGGAGTAGAAGAAAGGAACCAGCCAATCTAATTGTTGGCACAGTGGGTTATAGTTGATACCTACCAGTAGGGAGAAGGCATCAATTTATCTTTCCTAGAAAAGCCACTTATTCTGAATATGGAGTTGCTTCCCCTGCCATCATGTGTCTGTCGATATAGCCTCCTGTAGGATTACCAAATACCTGATACATAACCAGGGTATCCCATACCACACTGCTTCTTGCTCAGAACACAGTAGCATTCAATCCTGTGTTAAAAGGCCCATACAGGGATTGTGGCAAGGAGGTGCTGTCGCTTTCCACAGGATTTTCCGGACCTGGAAGGGACCTTTAGAGCCTTCAATCTTTCTGGACTCCAAAGATGCCACACTTTGGAGTCACTACCCAGATGCTCCTGATGCTTTTGAAACTAGGGTGGTGGGCCCTCATTTCGACATCAATCAAGGCAATTTTGTTCTGTATGGTGGACTTTTACACAATATTTTGTTTGTATAAGGTTTCTGCTTTTTGAAAAATGCAAAGCAGAGGAATCTAACCTCTTCACTTTCTGTGTAAGGAAACAGGCTTAGAGAAGTGAAATAACTCAGATTTCCAGGCACCACCTCCTTCCTGGTTGTCCTTGCCCTGCTCCTGCCTTGCTCCAAGAAAGGCTGTGGCAAGTCAGGAGAAGCCAGAGGACAATTTCTGTATCCAAGGGTCCTGCACCTCATCCCTGAGTTGTGATGGGCTTTCCATCTTTAGCTGGGAGCCCTATCGTGACCTTCCTAAATTCTGGTTGTGTGATAAGGAGAGTGGAATCTGAGATGAAGAACAAGGGGCCCCAAGGAGGAACGTGGCAGGTGAAGAGGACAGCAGGACCATTCGCCAGACAAGATCTTCAACTGGGTGGACTGGAGGCAATTGAGAACAGTTTTGAAGGTGCAGACTGAAGCAGTGGTGGGGGTGGGGGTGGGAGTGCTGAGGACTAGAGTAAGTTTGGGGAAGCCAGTTGCCTTTGGTCCTTTTCCACCTCCTGCTCCTCTGCGGGGAGGGGCTCGGCGCCCTCTCTCAGACAGGTGGGTCCAACAACAGGATGCCCATCTGTGCCTTTGAGTGTGTGTGTTAGGGTTGCAGACGTGGAGGACTACCTGTCATTTCAGAGAAGATAACCTGTTCTGCCGATTAGTTCGGCACGAAAGACACGACTCTCCCACGGTTCACACTGACCCACATTTCAAAGGTGGGGAAACGGAGGCGCGGGGCGGGGAGGGAATCCAGGCAAGTCCAGTGGCTGTCCACCCACTCCCGCATCGCAGGGCAGCGTGCGTTCGGGAGGGTGGGCTCTAGCGCGGAGCAAGAGTCCGAGGTGCGGCGGCCACGGGGTCCCGGGGCCCACCGCCGCCACCTCTGTCAGCGCGCCCTGCCTCGCCCTCCAATCCCGCGGTGGTACGCGACCTCCCAGAGGGCGGAGGGCGCGCGCTGGGGGCGGAGCCTCCTTGTTGTTGTTTCTCCGGGGCACCGCCCCTAAGGGGGGCGCGGACCACGCGGCCGGAGG